GTTCATACTTGTGTTCGTGGTTATTGCTTATCGTTTAATTCTTTCCATGGACATTGGCAAAACGGATTTGTGATTGGCTGAATATCCACACTAGGTCTCAATTAGCAGCCAACATTTTATTTTGCTAGAAAACTGCAAAATTGATATTTTAATTTAAACAGAGTCTATTGCGTATACGTTTTGCGTCATGCTAAAATATTAATTACAGTATTTTTATTAAATAATAAAAAAATTGTCAGCTCTACACAATATTTCTATCACCTCCTCATACAAAAAGTTTTATTAATAATAATCTTTCATCTTGGAACATGATCACGTGCAAAATAAACATTAAAATAAATATTACACATCAAATTCCCTTTGAAATATTGGCTAGCAATAACTTACATTTGAGGAGATGAATAGTTTATAATACTAATTACTAAATTTAACTAAATTATTCGTTTTGCAGGCCCTTTGAAGATTTAGTTGAAGTTCCATCGATGACTGCACACAAAAACGAAAGGAAGCACTTCGCGAGGTAGTCAGCATTCGTATTATTTATCACTTCACAGCTGCACACCTATGATCGATCCTTATCCAAGATGGCCGCTGGCGCGCGGCGCAAACAGGCGGGAAACGTGCGCGGGCGCACCTCCTGCACACTCAACCCGTCAATCTTCTAAAACGTTTTGAATTTGGAATCTTTGAAATTTTAATTTCGAACGTGCTAACGTGTACTCTCAAAGACGGTTTGCACTGTACTAAACACTAAAAAAATAAATGGACGCATTCAAAAGTTGAGGCCCATAAAACATATCTCCCCCATTATTAGTTTATGGCTTGCGACTGTTAGGGCTATTATGCTCATTTTTGTGTGTATATGTGTTTGTTTTGATTGTGTGCGGTGGACTTCAATTTGGGGTACCAGAACAAAACACCTCTATTGAGCAATGTTCGGTTCTTCCAAATTATAAATTTACAACCTGAGATGTTTTATGACTGTTACCGTTGTAATTTGATCTTTTGTTATTAGCGTAATTTTATTACGGACTCACATTTGTAAAAATCACCTGTCATAAACCAAACGGGCAGCATTCTTGTCTTTGCATATCTTTATCTTCTTGCTGAACTCTCTTTGTAACCGTCTTATTGTTTTTATTTTATATAAATAATTATGTACTTTATTATATGTATGTATATTGACGTTGTATAGAAGTACATATATTCTGTGTTTATAATAATTCTTTATGTAAGTATTGGTATTTTCTTATTTATCTGTTAGTTTACTTTATTTCTACCTTTTTCTTTCTCGCACACCGTTGCCCGCTTATGACTGGCCCTTGTTCTCACTGCCTTGCGTTGGCTGGAAGGCATTCTTTTTTAGAGATAAGCCCACTATTGCTCACCTTTTGTATAATTAATATTTATTTGTTTTTTTTTTAATAAGTAAGTTTTTTAAAATGGTAAGCGACGCGCCTATCCATAACAGTTGCAGCGCCACTTAGAGCTTTTAATTGCAAAGATCTTACGGGCACTGCCATTGTGCCCGTCACCCTGAGACATAAGTTCCATGTGCGTGTAATTTCACCAGCACCCTCTTCCAAACCGGAACGCAGTAATGCTCACATTACTGCTTGGCGGCAGAAATAGGAAGGGTGGCAGTACCTCTCTGGATGTACTCCTTAAAAAGAGCTCTACTGCTACTAAAAGTATCACTGTTTTGGTGCAATTAAGAATATATATAATAGTTTTAAATATTTATGGTGTTTATTTTAATTATTTCGTAGTTTTGATAATTTATATTGCAGGTATCACGTCAATTTTTAAAAACGGAGATGAGACCAGAATTTTTGAAATCATATTTTATAAAGCTTTGTACTCAGGTAGAGCAACATTCAAGGCAGCGCATCCAAGGCTTCTCACAGTATGATTCGGCACGCCCGCATGGTAACACATAAAATAATAACGTACGGTAGATGTTAAATTCATAAATAGGCAATTCTGTGTGCAGGTTATTATTTTATTCGACACAGAATGGCAGGTGAAAATATCAATTATAGTAGGCACGTAATATTTTCGCATGTTACTTTTAAAAATTTGCTTTATTGATGTGAATGTAATTCAATTGTTAACATTTTATACTTTTGAATTATTTCATTTTTGGCGTTGTAGAATAAATAGAATGAGTGTTTAATGTAATGTTGGGATATATAATATGGAAGTTAAGTGAATGGAATTTGGAAATTTCATGTACCTACATATATATCCAAAACATGTTAAAATCAAAATCGAAAGTACCCTACTGAGGTAGTGATTACAATATCTCATTTCCCTTTAATATAGGAGCATTTAAAACGTTATTGCCCCGAAGCGAAATTCAGTCGCCAATTTTGGAACCAGTTTAGAAATTATAGGGTCAGCTCTTGGTCGAGGTTAGACGCGGTTTTTGAATGCTCGCGTTTGAAAAAAATGCAAAGCGCACATTCAAAAGTACTTATATATCTTCTGAGTTAAGAGTACATTTTGTTGCGTATTGTACAGTGGTATATTTTTACTCTGGAATGTAAATTCTTCATCTAGGAGATATAATTATTTTAAATAAATGAAATTTATTGTTTGCAATATAAATTATATGTCAATTTATTTTGTTTTAATCTCATTTTTCCGCCATTTATAGCAATGTTAAATTTTGAATGTAGATTTATGGCATGTTTCGTATTATGAATATATCGTACGTCAAAAGTGCTTTTATGACATAAAAATAATACGAACTACATAAAACAAATTACGTATTTGAAGTTTCATAATTGTCCTGTTTAAGCTGAAAAAGTTATCTACTAATTCTGTTCGTAGAACCTCTCGCCCGAAAACTTGTCATTTGCAGATATGGCAAAAAGTCCTTTCTACTTACTACAAAAGTAAAGGATCGATAAGCAATCCCTAAAACGCTTAATTTAATTACACTGCAATTAACGAAACAAGATTCCTAATAATAAGTCTTCTTTAAATGCGTAATTGGTAACTGAAAAGTGCTAGTTACCATAATTTCAGCCTTTCCCCTGTAACAATTAGGTACTCCACTGACCAGTTTAACATCTTTGTATGAGGTATTTTGTAAAAAGTGAATTCGAGAGGAGGACATGCCCCGAAGTTTTCATACAGCCCACGTCCGGGCAGCCGTCCTTGTATTGTTTTCGCCGGCCGTGTTGCGTGAACCCCGAGTGAAATATGGCTGACAGTTCGACTACTTATTTTTGTTTTATTTTTAGGCCGTGTTACTTAATTTTATCAACTCACATGAGTTATGAGCAATGGGACCACACACGTCGTTAATTATCCGCTAGTAATGTAAAAGTGAGACTGGCAACCCTGCTAGATTGGAATTTTATTGGCGTTCCAATTTCGATATCCGTTCGAATACTTTTTCTATACGAATGCATTTGTCGAGTAACTTTTTAAATATTTCTAATAGCTTGTCTTATTAATGTTGTGACCAGTCAGAAATAGTTCATATTGGAATAAAATTTTATTTCTGTTTATACTGAGGTGTTTCATAACACACTTGTGTATTTAACTCGTGGTTAACACAATCGTAATAGTTTGTAGAGATGTGTCATAAAAATAATTTCGTAGATCGACAAACTGTGTCATTTGGATGTATGTATACTAGGAAACAGTGGCAAAGTTTTGATGACACAATTTTATTTCTACCGCTGTAGAACTCAACGATGACATATTTTTATATTTTTATATCAAGAAAATTTGAACTTTCATTTCAGAACGGTGATTGGTGGCCATTTGTCGGATGGTCAGTGGCACTCAAGTTAATAATAATGCGCCCAAATAGATCGGGGCGTTGACCCGAGCGGCGCGGGCGCACGAATTCCCGCCACATGAGGAGCGCTAAAATGCTGTCAGAGACACCCACTACACGCTCCGTCAAGTTAATCAGAAATTTCATCTTTGCTTTTTTTGACGGTCTAGCAAATGTTCTAAAAAAGTGTAAATTTCTTTCGTATTCAATTTTATTACTGCTTTCGATTTAACTATTTAGACAAAATTGTAAAAAAGTATGTGATTGTTACTGATCATATACACGTGTAATATAAAATATCTACCTATTGAAATTGATCTTAACGACCAGTTTTCTGTTCCAGTTATCTATTCGATCGTTCATAAGTTAGTACCGGATTCGAAGCCGGCACTATTGAACCACTCCCACTGACGACGGCCAAAAGTTTACGAGAACTCCGGTTGCACAAAAGTTAATTAGATAATGTTATGATATCAAAACTAGTTTTTGTAATTTTTTGGTAAGAATGGTGCACAGTTATAATGTTGCGTTTGATTTGTAAATAAAATGCAATAAGCAAAAATGACAATAAAAATGTAGTGCACGTACATTCAAAAAGCTTTTATCACTATAAAATAATAAAATTTTGGTGGTCGCCTTATTTTGTTCATAAAGTACAATATTTACATGTCAAATAGATTAAAACAGTTTTATTATTTGCTTTATGACTTTTATCTCGACTATAAAATGCTCAATGATTTTTATTACCCAAAATTAGTTAAGTGCCATTCTTTACTCAACATTTATTTGATGTCTCTATAAATTTATGAATGGCACTCAAATCTGTCGCACTAATAAGGTGTTAACGAGGGTCGTACATTTTATGTGCTTTTTATTGACACTTGAGTCGAGTTCGTCGCTACCTGCTGCCGCGCGGCTCTTATTGGTGTCTTGTGAGACTCGAAGGGGACATAAACGGAACTCAATGGGTGTGTACGATGTGCTAGCAACATTTTAGAGCTATATAAGCTCGTGTAGGAAGTATGCGGAGTTTTCGATTTTTACTATTAATTCATTGATTGGTGTAATTAATTATTGTTGAGTCTACGTTTTTAGATAAATTTAAGATTGTTGAGAAATTTTAGAACCTAAAATTTTTGTCTCTAAGAAAAATTTTTTCTAGATAATATGATTGTTGTTCAAGCTAAACAATGAGTTGACTGACCTGCTATGGCCATCCAAGGATAGAAGGTGTGGTTGGGGGCTTGGTGCTGGACGGGCTGCGCTGTAGCTGCTGCTGAACCTGGTAGGGCGCATTGGTTTCCCCAGGGTAGGGCTCTTCCAGGACTTGAGGACTCGCTGTACCGAGCTTCAGGGGTGCAGGCTGCTGGTCGGACGAGCGCTCCTAGACCAGCGCCCCATGCTTCTTTCCCTCCGTAACCATTCTGCTGCTCCCCTCCGCCCTTCGAACAGTCAGCTTTGGCGTACTGTTGCTCTCCTGCGTACAGCTTGCAGGCGGCCGCGACAGAGGCATCGTAAGGAGAGTCCTGAGGACGTGGTTGGTGCAATGCATGGGGTTGAGCGTATGTCAGCCCCAGAGGGAATCCTCTGTACTGGTCTCCTCCTCCACTCCCCTGATGCACCCCATGCGCCCCGTAAAAACCACCCTGCTCGAAATAAGAGTTCATTCTGAAAAGTCACTGTCACTAACGTCACTTATAGAGACCACTTATGTCATATCGCGGTCCCACGCGCCCTGATAACGCGACCTCCGCCAATGTCACTCCAAATTCTGACAGTGAATATTAACCTTTATTAATTTTATTGCCTCTTCAACGTCACTCAAGCGTCATAATGGGCTTCGTTGGCGATAAAGGCCAGTTGACGTGTGTTTACTTTTTACGATTATTTTACGACTTGGGAGCGCGTGCCGCGGGTTTTACGAGTATTTAAGCGGTTCCGTCTGGCGAGACGTCTCACGCTGGTTGGTGGGTGTTTTTTTTATTTTCCAGTTCGCGATGTGTCAGACGGTCGTATGTCGCGAGCGAAGTTTGTAGAGTCGCGTGTGGCGGGAGCGCGCACCCATATGCCGTGTGCGACCACCGCGGCTCGACTCACGCAGTCTACTAAGAGAGCAGCGAGGCGAGCCACGCGCGCCGCCCCGCGCGCCGCCTGGCGATCGCAACGCGCCCGATTGTTCCGTCCCCTTTTCGCTAATGACAATAAATATTATCAGTTGCGCTCTCTTTTCCTTTTCTTATCACTCTTCATGAAGCACGTGGTTAGTGACTATTATGATTGAAAAACTAGTCTCAACTGACGTTTCAGCAACTCTTCCAATGCTGAAAAACGTAGTAGATTCTATCCCATAATCGTTTACTTTCAATAACTGTTCCACATTGTTATAAAACGTAATGTAAGTTGTAAAAGCCACCCCGAGTGTTTTATTTCTTTACTAAATATCCCACACAATGAATGGGCATGTAAAAAATATCAACAAAAGCCCATGATCACTTTACTACTGAAAAGTAAAGCCGCAAAAGTCGTAAACTCATAAACGTACAATTAGTGAAACGGGCGAGTAAAGAAAAGATTTTACAACCACTTCTCGACCGTACCACAATGAGCGCGCAGTATCGTAACAAGGTGCTGAATAGAGTGAGAAGTCGTAAAGATGATTATTATTTCTTCTACTACCTGTTTTTACGAGAAGTGACGCTGTCACTTTCGAACGCGTAGCGTTGGTATTAGAGCAAACGTGATGGGTTATATTCCACCGGCCGCACGTAGTGGAGACGGTGTAGCGTGGAATATTATTGTCTCCCTCTGGCACAGTGTGGCGCGTGCAGTGGCTACACTATCGAAGGGTAAACAATAGCGCATTATCGCAAGAGCACTCAGTTCGCGCGTCCAAATGAAGTCATCAAACGAATGAATGGCTCTCGTGGTGGAGCGGCCTAAGAGACACGCTCGCATTTTTATTGTACTCACCTCTTTAAACAAATATTTGCCGATAAAAGGCGGGAAGCCGCGCCATTTTTTATTGGATTGTAACTGGTCAATTAAAGAACATAGAGATTGTTGCACGTTCGAGGGTTGTCGTGAGTTTAGAATGCCTATTAGGCGCCGCCTCAGTGTCAGACTTTATAGATCACTCTATGTCTAGACTGTGTTTAATTTCTTTAATTGCTGTATGTCGTATTTATAGCCAATTAACGATCCATATCCCACTAATAGTTAAATATCTGCCATTAAATCGAATCTTAATTTAGCAAAAACTAACACAATTCCACAAATATACATTTTCATAGCTGCTTTGTTACTTTTAATTACTTGTATATATTTCTTAAAAGATGTTTAGTAAAGTAATGTCGATAATAACCGAGAATGGATATTAAAGCCAATAGACATTAATTTATTAACTGCCTAATAGGTTACGACTTACTAGGCTTACCACATACCAACAGTGTATAAGCGTAAAATATCTCACTACATCACATTTATTCTTTACACTTTGTATTTGAAGAGTAAATATTGATGTGGTGAAAAAACTTAATTCTATTCTTTTTTTTACTGCTAGATATATCGAGTAAAATTTCTTCAAAAAAGGAAAAGGTATCCTACTAAAACCCTTGGCTAGCATAATGCCTATAGTTATATTATAATTTTTATAACAAATGCTGTAGGTATAATATATCTACGACTCTATTAAAAAACGTATAGATATTATGTGTACAGAATAAATAAAAATAGTGAAAATGTCAATAACTCTGCATCTGATAGATTTATGACGAAAACGATGTAAACAAATTAACCTATATTTTACGTCGTAAATGAGCTTTTAAATTTTTTAGAGGTGTAATATTTTATTCGCGCGTAAGTTGTATTTATGTTTTCCCTAGAAAAATATATTTCAGTTACATTAAAATAGATTATTTATATTTTCTTGCTTGAGAAACATTTAGATGTTCTTAGGCTTTTATGATCGAGAGTCAGCCGTGACCATTGGACCTATGAAGACCTCGAAACGTTGGTTTGTTTGAAAAAACATACATACGCGATTTAGATTCGAAAAATAGTTCCTTCTCTATAATTTAGGAAATTTATAACAGCTAATGAAGCATCATATATTCTGACAAACATTTTTTTAAACTTTAGCATGCTTATTTTCGGCTTCAATATAAAATGACGACTCTTGCCCGTTTCCTTGATTTTCATATTAAGGAATAATTATTCGCCGTCTTACAATTTTTACGTGAAGATACGGATTGGTCGTATTGTTAAATTAAAATCACACCGGAAAAGAACTGACTCTTATGAAGTGGATCTTAATGCAATCAATCACACTCTTGATTGAATCAATCACGATAGGATTAAATTTATTGCTTAACATCATTATGCTTGATAGGCTCTCTACTTAATAAGAATCATTTTTTTGCGGTGCAATAAACAATATTGTAATGGAATTACGACTATTAGACTCTAAAAACAGATAGATACAGAATATTTTTCGTAGGATATAATGTGTGACTCGAAAACGGTAAGAAGATTGAATAAGTACCACTAAAACATTTTTTAAATTTTACACATATGTACACATGTACACATGAGCGCGAAGTTGAGTATATATATAGTTGAGTATATGAGTATATAATATGAATTCCCCAGGACATTCTTATTTGAATATTTAAAATTGTGGCACCAGTTTTTGACATTATAAATGTCCATTTTTCTTTCTCTAATACAATCAAAATATTTAATTTGATAACGTGTTTTAATAGAACAATGTACGGACGGAAAAACCGTCCTATACCGTAGACATTTTCCTAGCTGTAAAGACGCAAGGTCACATATAGAGATTAAAGTAAGGTATAATGTATCCACGTACTATCACGCTTGTTGTAATAGGTAAGCAGACACTACAAACATCAACTTGTAAAGTCACTGTCACACCAACATGTTTCGCTTCGTTTACTTCCATCAATCTTTCAAACATTCTATGCAGTTGTAACTACCTATCCACTTGTGTTTTTGTTCTTTGTTTGGCCTGGCATTGGCTATCTTTCGTTGTATTTATAAATATTAGACCTATTCATAACAAATTAATTATTGTATCCCAAACTAAATGTAAACCATCTGATTTTTGTGTCCTATTTACAGTAGTTTTTAGTAGGGCTCCTTGTGAAAAGTTCGTCCTGGAAAGTACTGTTACCTTAGCTATTTATATCGCCCTGCAGTCACGTGACCATTTTAGCGTTCCGGTTTTGGAGGGTAAAGATGCTGGTGAAATTAGAGGATAATGATTATTGTCTTGTCTCAGGGTGATGGCTGACTTTCTTTCAGCGGCAATATCCTTCAAATCTTTGCGATTTGTAGCTCTGAGTGACACTGTAACCATTATGGACAGGCGTATTGCTTAACACCAAGGGAACGTATTGTTCGCCCCGCCACTTGGTATCATATAAATAATAAATTTATTGCAATAAATAAGCGTTTATTGTTATTTTAAGGCAACGTTACTAACTCATACCATCATACCAACCATATTACAGTAATAAGAATAACTTTGTACTTAGGTATTTTTGTATCTTTCATAATAAAGTAATATACTTAAAATCACGCGCTTGGATTCCTATTGGGGAAGGCCGAGACTAATTAATTGATCGCCACTTATTACGATCGTGACAAACGTCTCTTGCTTCACTTATGTCCATGAATCTTTGCATATAGGCTCTCTCATTCTTTTCTCTATGTACCGGAGCCTTTTTAAGAACACTCTTTATTTGATCTGATGACGGTCTTCGTTGTCGTCCTCTTCCAATGATGCCTTACACGTTAGGTCTATATATTTCATTCGTTAATCTACATTCAGTTTTCCGCTCCATATGCCCAAACCACCTCAACGTATGCTTTTCTATCTTTGCCTCATCCTCTTTTGAACCACATCCTTCACAGATCACAGTATTCTTCAGTCTGTCACGTAACCGCACATTATATATTTTTCTAAGGGATCTCATTACTACTGCTTTCATTTTACTTTGCTATTCTATATATCTAAGCTATTCGTGCCTTTTCAGATGCAGACTGGCTGCACATCACTCCTTTTATGTCTCTTCACTTTTTCCCTGCACTGTTCACTGTATTTCCTTTTTTTACTCTTCTTTCAAAGTCTTTCTCACATTTACCATCCCTTACAAACATACATCCCAGGTCCACAAACTCTTTTACCAGTTCAACTGTCTTTCACCGATTTCATTTATGCATTGTGTACTATCATTCTTTGAAAATTGCAATAAAGTTATTATTATTCTTGATATCTTTCATCTGACGTACTTTTGGCAAATTTTCTTAGATTACATATTCTTATTAATCGTGTTAGCGGTGATTGATCTGTGGGAAGACGTTTGCTTTTGCAATTGAACGGTCCACATTTGACATCCCTGTGGCGGTATGTACAGCCAAGAGCATGTCAAGCTTGACACTTTGTACTTTGGATCGTTCTTATCGTAAGCGGCATAGAGATGGATTTAAATCTTAAGTGTCAAGCTTGACGTGCTCTTGACCGTGTACCTATAGGGCCAAGAGCACGTTAACCTAGATGCTTAAAATTTAAATTCAACTTTATACTGATTACGGTACGGTTCAAAGAGTTGATGTGCTTTTGACTGTATCCATGCCTTTAATGGCATCTGTAATAGGAATCTGTTGCTGTATGCTGTTGGAACACAAAATTTTAAATTTTTAGTTAAATGAAAAAAGTAACTTTATGCGAACAACCATTAAACTTTACCATACCTATAACTTAATGTGTAATTGGTGTACATTCCGTACATCAGCCTGGTGCAGCAAGCGAACAGCTACAGATGGAGACTAATAAATCGTCAATGCTGATGATGAGTCTTAATTCTCTCTTAAGTCTTAAGTCTCTTATTTTTGTCCACATTACTTAATTTTGTTTTAGGCATATTAGTCTAAAATTATTGTTATTTCTATGTTTTGTGAAGAAATAAGTGTCTTTTTATTTTATGTATTTATTTAATTTAGTTTCTGACTTACAACCTACTAGATACCAGGTACAGATAACTAGGTACCTACATGTGGATAA